GCAGATTCTGGCAGCCTTGGCTGTAAAAGAAATCACCGGACTGTGCTGGTTGTATATCCCCAAATAATATTTGTGTGATCCTTGCCCCTTTTAGAGTGCAGGAGCTCTGAGGCTCGTGGACACTGAGCTGTTGGTTTCCTTGGGAGAAAAGGGACCTGATATCTACAGCAGTGCAGGCATCTGTCCACAATCAGGGCCTGGTTCATCTGCTAAATTTCTTTGAATAGGATTGTATTTATGTTTGCCAATTCTCCTCCCCAAGTGACCCATTAAATCACGTTAATCCCTTCACTCCAGTCTGTTCTTCTACTAAAATCCATGTTTTCCTGTAATTTGCTTCTCATAATCAGCCCATATGCCTGTGCTGCCATCTGAGGTGGTCAGCAAATGATGTTTATAGACTGGCAACAGGTAGGTCTCGGTGCCTTCATTTCCACTCACTGGGTGATCCCCTGAAACTTTCTGCCCCAGTTTCCCCACCTGCAGAATTGCTTATTGCACTGCAGGGCTTCACACAGTAAGGTCATCAAGAGAGCTGATATATAAAGGCTAAGGAAGAGCATTTTTACTCACATGAACCTTGATATGCCAACAAAATTAGTCTCATTCCCCTGGTTTACTATCAACAGTGGTATCAGACTCCATAATAAACTAAAACTGTCCATGTAAGAGTTCTGGTTTATCTGTTTGCATTAGGATTGTTCTGGTAATTGTCATGGCAGTGCAATATCACCCAAGAGCCCTAGAGATGAAGTTTCCTTAACTTCAGAGTCTTCAGGCATGTGTTTTTTGTATGGAGAGACATAATGGCATATGGAAAGAACAGTGTTTGTGTTTCTCTAAGTGTGAGATGACAATGGATTGTCAAGTATTCAGCCTTCATGCTGCTACAAGAATAATACAAAAGAAACAGGGCATCATACTGAACAGAGACTGAACTCTTTGGGGCAGGAACCATCATTTTATAATGTAGGCACCGTCTCCAGCATGGTAGGTGATGTATCCCTGAGGTTATTTAGCATTCCATCAGAAAAATGTCATTATTGTCACCACAGACTTGCCTGTGTGATGAGATGTACATAGAAAGGTCTGATATTTTAGGGTTATATGTGCAAAACAGTTGGCTGGCTGCTGCTTGCAAATCCAATTTTGTCCTTATGCATTGACATGCTTTAGCTGTTCTGGGGTCCTGCAGCCCCTGACAGGAAGGGCTGTATGACAACCTTACTCAGTTTTCTGATGTCTAGAACCTGCAGACACAGTTAATCCAATGGACCTTAAGGATGTGGCCAGGCATGTACAGTATCCAGCCACTGGAGTAGTCAAAATGGGTGTGACCCAACCAGAGGCTGGAAAACCGCCTGACACACTTGGCAAGTGATGTAATTCTCCATTCTCAGGAGGAAATTCTTTACTGAACCCCTCTAGCAATGAACTTTTGGCCTGAAGCTGCAGTTTGGATTGCACAAGCTCAATAAATGTGTAATTATAAATACTAGAGACACACCAAGCCTCCCCCCCCCCCTACAAGTAGGACCTGTTTTAGAAGTTGGGAAGGAGCAAAGATCCAACCAGTAAAGCCATTGCAGGAGCCAGCTGCTCTGGCAGAGAGCAGCCTCTGCTCGGGGTGTGGGCCCTGCAGGAGATGGCTCCTGCCCAAGAAAGTGTCATCGGTCATCCTGGGCATTGTGGCAGCCAATCAAGCCAGCAAAGCCATCAAACATTCAGCCTCCTCCTCAGGTCTTGCTGCTTTGAATTGGCTGCTTGACAAGTGTGTGGTAATTCTGCTTTTACCTGAAGTCATTGCCTAATTTAGAGTTTGTTTGCAGCTTTGCCATTTAGGAGCCAGGGTTGGATGGGAAGCCCACGGCTGTTGGGGTTTCTCTGATGTGGGAGATGGTATCACACAGAGGGGGAGAATCTCTACTTTCATAAAATATCAGTCTCCAATCGTGGTTTTTTTTTCTTCCTCTCTTCTTAAATTAGAGTGACTACAATGTAATGCAGAGATAGAGGAACCACTTTGATGGTAGAAATCTACCTGCAGCAGCTTGAAGCTCAGCACTGGTAGACCCTACCCTGCTCCTCGCACTCCAAAGGAAGGATGCAGAGCTCGTGGTCTAGTGATGCTTCCACACCTGTAATACAGTGCTTTGAGAGGCAGCAGAAAGCACTGGGAGGGTCACCGAGGCAGGAATGCTTACAAGGTGATTTCAGGGCAAACTGTGCTTATGATGTTCCAGGCTCAATGTGTATGTGCCCAGCAGTTCCAGAAGGAACACCCTGCTTTTCAGTTTTCCAATCTGAGCCACTGGTGTTTCACATACATTAGTGCTGAGTGGGGTGAGGCTGGGATGGATGGAAGTTGTTTACATCCTCATTTCAACTGTGACAGCGTGGGGTGGCAGAGGAAGAGTCACTGCTCTCCTTGGGAAGTTGGAGATGTTGGTTTTGTGGGGTTACCCAAACCCATGGTAACTGTAGCTCTACCTGCACGTAAGGCCTTTTCAAACACCTCTGCTAGTTTGCATGCTAGCTTGCTAAGCCTTTCATGTATAGGGTGGATCCAGCACTGAAATAAGCAAATGAAAAGCCTGTTGAAGGAAGGGTGAGGAGTGGAACCCAGAGGTGGCATATTCAGTCCTTTCTGAAGGCCAGGAAGACCTGTCCAGCCTGCTCACTGCAGTTATTAGATCACTAAAAAAACTCAACACCCTTTCAAAAAGCCTGGCTTAGATCTAACTGCAAATATTAGAATTGACTGTCATTGAGCAAAATCAGGCAGGAGCAAAAGCCAAAATATTGTTACTCTTAGGCTGGAGAGTGGAAAAAAGAATCCTTGTCCTAAAGTGTTCAGAACAGTCACCCCAAAGTCGTGATGCACCGTACAGCAATCTGTGTTTGGAAAGCATTAGGATAAAGTGTGTTTGTGGGGTGTACGAGTGTGTTTGTGCACACACACGTGTGGTTTAGGGTTAGCAAATGGAAATGTTTTCATTTCTGCCTGAATATGGATTTATCTTTGTGCTTTAACACCCCTACAACGTGCTTGTTTCAAACCTACACAGCTCGTGATGGTTATGAAGCACTGTTAGTCATTATTGTTAACCAGGGCACTTTAGTGATGATCCAGGTGTGAGCAGCTTTGTCATGGCTCTGTGAGCTTTCTTACCGTGGTCCTTGAAGCTCCAAAGGACATTAGAAGAGGGTGTGGAATAGTCTGAATATTCCTCTGCAGGACACAGCAGATCCTAGTAGAGCTCCAATGCTTCTTGCTGTTACAGCAGGAACAGCAGTGTGGTTCCAGTTTGGAGGTTTACCTGGTTAGTGTGTTCTCCAGATGTCTGTGTATTAAATGTGATCGAATAATTTGTCACTGCCTCTGTGTAGCTTGTTAATCCTATACAGGAAAGGGTAATCAAACATTTGTGACCATTTAAACCATGTTGTTTTATAACTCTCCCAACATTCTTTTCCTTCAGATTTTGCAAAGTGATTCCCTTTGCTCATCTTTTCTCTTTTTCAAGAATGCTGGTTGTATAACCTGCTGGTTCCTTTTGTTCTGCCCATGGACTTCAATTTGTTTTGGCACTTTCTGCAATTGTGAAACTTGCAGTTAAGCTAGGATTTTTATATATGCTAAATTAGTTGCATTAGTTCAGCAAAATATTTGTTTTAGCTGTAATAACAGTATTATAATATCACAGTATTACAGACAGTATCAAGGTAGATTATCATTTATTATGGTGTATTATTGCAGTTAGTAAACAACACTGTCTGCTATAATTGCTATATCAATATGACTGTTTCAAGGATCTACCAATGTTTGTACTAGAAAACTAAATTTCAAGGGTTTATAATTCACCCATTATATATTGCCTGAAGGTGGAAATTTATATAGTATATACCAGTATTGGGGAAATCCCTGTTCCCTTTGTACTATCCAGTGGATTGAGGCTTATCATGCTTGGAGGAAGATCTAACCTCCTAGAACTACAGCTGTGGAGGCTTATCTTTATGGGTAGGAACCCGTGCCAATCCCTGCAACTAAAGGTAGATATCTACTCTCTCCAGCTTCTAGTAAGTGTATCTGCTTTTTCTGTCTTGATTAGCTATCCAGTTGACTCATTTTACACTTCCAGAGGAAGGGAAGGATAGAGAAAGAAAGCAAGAAATGTTTAAGAGAGAAATTTGTTTCCTTGTCAGCAAAGAGGTGAGAAAAAGAAATTCCTGGAATGAAGTCCCAGTCTCAGACTGCTTGCTGTTCTCTGACAGCCAATGTTTAGTCCTTATTTTCCAGAGGCAGGGAGGTACGACGGACTAGAAGTAGTTATACTCCTATTTCCCTAATCCTAGGGGGTGTTCTGGGGAGCCTTGTCCTGCTGCAACCCCAGAGGACCTAAAAGGTGTGTCTGTAGGAGATTTTTGAGTTTTCTTTTCCAAGGCTGTCCCCTAGGATCTACATGGAGGATCCTTCTCTCTTCCTTAGAGTCTGTTCCCGGGTTAGTTAAGGAGGAGGTTTCTATATCAACATCAGCCTGTACCTCTTCATAAGGGGCCCCAAACCCACTGTTCCTTTCCTGATGGCATGATGGTATCAGATATAGCTTTGGGTATTTGAGTAATAATAATGATGATGATACTTGGCAGAGTTCGAAGGGGAAGAATTTCAGGGAGATCTACTACAAATCTCTTGCTATATATTGTGTGTGTGTGTTCATATGGAGGTGTAGGTAACAGAGTGCAAACCCAGGCACAAACACTAGAGCCACAGTTTTTCCCCACTCCAAAGTGGAACACAGCAAGGATGAGATTCCAGAATGGAAACAAAACAAAAGAGCTTTCTGGCCTGCAGTGGACCTTGATTGACTTCAACTCCTCACCGAGTGCAGGAGTAGTGAGGGCCAGTATGAGCAGGGTGAGCTGAAACCAGCTCTTCCCGGGTTGATTCACAGGAACCCTCTCATGACTCTCCTTTCACCCATCCTCCCTTCCCACAGGTTCCACGTGCTTTGCAATCGGGACATTGTCAAATGAGCAGGAATTGGCGATCCTGTAAATAATCTGCAACAAGGGGAGCAGGTGCCAGGGGGCGCAGGAGAGCCGCCGGCAGGACACCCATCCTCGGCCGGGAGGTGCTGCCGGGGGTAGGAAGAGTCCGGTCTACGGAATGTTCAACTAAACGCATTTAAAGCAGGTATGACCGTGTTTTTAAGCTTCCTGGGTGACTGACCATACCTCCTGAAATTCTACCTAATGATTTTGCACTTACCTTCAATGATATCAGGCTGCGTTCTGGCCTCTCTGGAGGAAGCAACACAGTGTAATGGATTAACTCAGAGAGTTATTCACTCTCTAGTCTAATGCAACTGCTTCTGGGGTGAGAGGGGCATAAAATGCTGAGATTTTATGTCAGCTGCCCCAGTGAAATCTAAAATAATTCCGTCAGCTGTCAATGAAATTGTTTGATTTATACCCATGTACAAAATATAGCCTTAAAAATGCCTCCAGTAGAAACTACATCAAAATGCTAACAATAATTTGGCCAGAAAATGAATTCTGAGGCAATTTTTGCTGGTCACAGATGTATTTAAGCCAGCTGCATACACTGGCTTAAATGCATTACATATCACATCTGCATTTCTGGGTTGCACTCACAGGAGAGAGGATGCATGTAAGCTATATTACTACACTGAGAGGCATTATGGAACCCAAAACCAGACAGGACAAAGCCCTCCTATCTCATCCCAACATCATGTGAGACTTGCATGTACTCACCCAAGAGGCATTTTCCTTTGCTGGTCTGGCTGGTTTTACCACAAAAGGGTTATGGTACCAGCAATTTGATTATGGTGCAAGTGGGGGATTATTAAAGGTTTATGTTTCCTCTGGTAAAATTCTATGATTGCATTTGCAGAATTACTCTGCTATTACTAGGACTGTCTAAAGAAAAGACATTGAAATATAAAAATTTTGGCAACACTTGGTTTTTGCTCTTCTTTAGGAGAAGTTCATTGATTTGTTGCCTAGGGGCTTGCTGAAGAGCAGCATTCAATATCTCCACTGCTCTGGAAGTTAATTCTTCTTCATTCTGCCAAGTGCCTTTTCTTTTCTCTTTCAAGCAACTCTCAGTACTGTCCACGTTATTCTTCTCTTGTCTCCTGAGTGCTAATATCTACCCCTTCCTTCAGTAATTGCTACCATGTTGATAGTAATTTGTACATTTGTCTTCATGTGATTATTTATTGTGTTACAAAGCACTCTGTGGCAACAGAGGATTCCTTCCTTTCATGGATGAATAAGGTATCTCTTCAGTGACATGCTAAAAGGACAGTGCTGATCTGAAAACAAAGCTGCTTCATTCAAACACTGAAGCTGGACATATATAGCCCAATGTATGGCAAAAGCAAATGTAAACCCATTAGATAAATCTTCCCTCAATAACAGGTTACTTTGGCATAGTGAAGGCTGAGAGAAATTCTATAAATACACCAGAACAGGAGAAAAAAGAGAGGTAAATACCAGGGAGGAGAACAACTGCTTAGACTAAAGGCAGCACTGGCACAGGAACAGATGGGTATCATCTAGCCAGTAGTAACTGTAGCTGGTAATTAGAAGGTTCCTAACCATCAGAAGAGAGAGATTCTGGAGCAAAACCCCAGCAAAAAATGATGCTTTTTGCTGTTGGGTTTTTTTTCCTACTTCTTGCTGTGAGGCAGAACTCAGTCAGGTGGTACGAAGGGTTGTGTTATCGGGTGTGCTGGCTGGGTTTGCACAAGTTCTTCCTCCTGTGCCCCTGCAGCTCTCAGTGAGCAGGAGGGGTAGGGGAGAGAACGTGAGTAATGTAAGTAAACATCAACATCTACACAGTGTGAGTTCATCTGCAATATTTTCATCCTTCCCATGCTTGGACTGTGGGAGAAGAAATAGCCAATTGTGTCCTTGTGGCACAATCAGTCCCAGAACAGTGATTCCTGTTGTAAAGGCCCGAAGATAAGAGGAGGCAGGAAAAGTCACCCTGGGGAGTCTGTCCCTCTGCAAAGGATTGTGAAGTGGTCTTCTCTAATGCTGGAGAAGACAGGCCTGCACCAGAATGTCAGATCTAAACAGCTCTAGGTCCTCCAAATCTGAGATCTGTAGTATGAGCCTATCTCCAATGACATCTCCTTGAATCTGAATCGCTTCTCCTGCTGCTAATGCACAACAGGCAGAAATGTATTCTCACACCCACTGCTCACCTGTGATTCTGTTTTTCTCTTTAGTAATTGTGCAAGTCACCTGATAATTCAGCTGAAAGCCCTTACGAGACATTACATAACGTCCTCAGAGAAACACTGTCTGCTGTAACATTGGAGAGATTATTATGTAAAACTTTCTCTCTTTTTCTCAGTTGTTTGGTTTTGGGTGGGGAGTCAGGATGGATTTCCACTTGGCTGAGTCTAAATGGCTTCAGGCTTACACTGTATTGCTCCCCTTTTTTATTCGTCTCTGGAGACTGTGCTGGAACTGCCTTAGCATCACAAGTGAAATGAGTTTGGCAGGGCTCTCTGGAGTCAAGGCAGCACACCTGGCTGCGAGCAGAGGTGCGATTCAGCTCAAGTGGTAACACTTACTCAAGAAAGCCCCCAGCTCTAATGTGATGATTTAATTAGCATCACTGGACCAGATCCATGGGATAAAACCTTCCCCCAATACTCCCTCTGGACTGCAGAGCTTTCTGTATGCACAAGTAATGCTGAGGGGATCGTGCACTGCTTGCAAACATGAGCAGAGCTGTGGGCAGGCCTGTGCTGAGCAGGAGAAGTACAAAGAGGCAGATCCCAGCTTCCACTGAAACCTGTTTCTTTTCCCTGGGTGGCTCTTGAAGGCTTGACCAGAGGACTGGGTCACTCACTCTCTCCTTTTTTGCTCAACACGCAGAGGCCCTGCCTGCTCTAATGAATGGCCTGTGGGTGACACTGAGCTCCCACAAAGGTCTGAAGGGACGTTAGAAGTGAACACCCAGAGCCATGACCCAGCTGTCCCTCACATCCTGCTTCTATCAGCATCTTGGAGATCTCCACCCGCAGCCGCTGGGTGGAGGGGAGCAGGCAGACCTCTGCCAGCAGTGTCCCCCAGCTGAGGGGTGACCAGGCACTAAGGGCCATTCCCACCACCACATCCCTGGGCAAGTGCTGCAGGAGCTGATCTCCAGCCCTGCTGAGCATTCCTGCACCAGCCTCCTGCCCACTGCCCTGCCTGGCCTCCAGTTCATCTGCAGAGACCAGGAGCTCATCAGAGCTGTGTTCAGGCAGCACTTGGATAAAGCAGTGGAAAGGAGAGGGGGGTGAGAGCTTTGAGGGGATGTCCTGGACAGAGGACTCTGCTCCCTGAGCACTCCCACCCCAGCACAGTCCCCACACAGAGCAGGGGGAAACTGCACCCAAGCTCAGGTCAAGAGATCTTATCAGGAACTGTTTTTCTTCCTGTCCAGAAGTTCTGAATGGAAATACATTCTCTGAAATACTGCTTTTGGCTGCATATTTCAAAGCAGAATGAAAAATTTCGTTTCAGCTAAAAGTGTTCTCTTTGAACTGAGATTTTGAGCGAACTTTTTCTTCTTGAAAACTGAGATTAAAGAAAGTCGTCAACTGCCTATCAAAAAGTGCAAAATATTAGATTTTTTTTTTTTTAATTGCCCTGTTGAGGAAGGGGAAAAAACAATAATTTGTAACAGCTATGTTTTTCAAAGGGAAATTTTTCCATTCCTAAAAATATCAAACAGCTCTATCAAAATTTGTGTTTCCTTCTGCTTGTTCACCTCTCTTTTTTATTTTTCCCTCCTCATTTGGGACACCATGTAACAACTGAGAACCCAGAAAGTCTTTTTTTTTTCCCCCAAAAGTTCACAAACCTCCTTGATGAACAAGCTTTAGGCTTGTCATGAAACCTGAACCCAAGGCAGGTTTCCTGGCTTCAGCTTTCAGTCTGATGTTGCACATGGCTCTGGCTCAGAGGACTGCTTTAGTATTGGAGCAGGGATGGGAAATCCACTTGTGCAGAGGAAAAAAAGATGGAAAGTGTATAGCTGCAGTGTGGAAAATCCAGCTGCAGGGCAGCCCCTCTGCCCCTGCTCCTAAACCCTGGACTGGTGCTATGCTGGAGTTCTCACCAGCTTTGGCAGCTGAGCTGGATTGCTGTGGACCACCTTAAATGTTTTCCATGCCAGCTGAGCACAGAAAGCTGCTGAAATGGGTCTCTGCTGTGCGGTGCACTCTCTCTTAGCAATGCCCTCATGGTGACTCAGTCCCATTCCCCGCTTCTTTTAACCCACAGCAGGTCAAGAGTTTAACAAAGTGACTGGGGCTGGGAGCCAAGTCCCCAGAGTTGCAATCTGCAGCCAGCATGCCAGCATCTGGAAAGCGTTTGTGACCAATAAAAAATGAATGTGCAGACTCCGCCAAAGCAGCAATCATTTGGCATCTCAAGCCCAGATCTTTACAAGATGATTCTTCTGAGGCTTGGAAAGGCTTGCCTTAGTGTTTTCTAATAAAAACAGTTCTGGGCTGGGCCAATAGCCGGGTGAAGAGTGCTGTGCGTCGCCACATGGGAGACAGCCAGCCGGGAATGGGAAGACACTGCTGGAGTGTAACCTCTGGGGCTGGCTGCCTCATGTCGGTGGTGCTGTCGCTCAGGCTGGGCCAGGGCACTGTGAGTGCCACAACAGCTGCCACTCAGAGCACACCCTGACCCTGGGCTGTGTTATCTGGTGCCGCAGGACTCCTGCGGAAGGGAACATGGAGGACTGGTGGGTACAGAACACCCTGCAGTTAGGGCATGGAGCTCTTGGTCAGTGTGACAAGAGCTGCCTTAGACCAACCCCACGGATAAAACAGTTTCCAGTATTCAGCAGTCACTTTTCCAACTGGTGCAGCTTAGATGTGCCAGGCTGTCTTTGCACGGTATGTTTGCATTCCCACCTTTTGGTCAGTTCCTGACTGCAGGAGATCAGTGGAGTTGTAGGAGCTGCTCCCAGGCCTTCTCAGGCACAGGTAACAGCACAGGCCCCTCTTGTCTCCTGAAGACACCGAAGAGGTTTAGTGTATGTACTTGGTACCTTGGAGTGGTACAAGCCTGGGAATGCTGCCATTGATGGTCCTTGCCAGCAGCTCATACTGCTGTTGTTGAC